GAGCAAAAGCTAAAGACTTGGGTCCCTGTTAACATGGGTGAGACACGGTCAATGTTCGCCTAACCTACCTCCAGATTTCTTGTTAACAGACAGCGTGTCTCTGTTGTGTAAGCCGTTTGTGGCCCAGTGTTCTTATTTGCAGCCCAGAGATTCATCATTGAGCACTCGTGACTTCACAACAGCGCCTGACTGTCGCCCTCATGGTTCTCCCTGGCCTCCCAGCCGATCCTAGCCCTTGCCCCGTTCTCTCTGCAGAGCTGGTCTGGAGAATGAGAGCTTGGGCCTTTTGTGATGCACCACACCATGCATGAGATGTTCAGAACAGGGCGCTCTATGGAGAAGAAAAGAGGATGGTGACTGCTTAGGGCTAGGATGAGATGGGGACTTGGGAAGGTGACAGCGAGAAGGTTGGAGGCTTCTTTCTGAGGTGGTGAAAATGTCTAAAATCATTGTGGCATTGATCATTTATGTCTGTGACTATCCAAAAAGCCATTGGATTATATTGAATTATATGCTCTTTATATGGCGTATTGATGGTATCTCAGTGTCACTGTGGTTTTTTGTTTGATTTGTTTTGTTTTTGTACTAGCCACCTTTTTGTTGCTGTGATAAATCGTATGATGAAGGCACCTTATAGGAGGAGGGGTTTATTTGGGCTTATGGTTCCAGAGGGATAAGGGGCCATCACCATCATGGTGGGGAAACATGGCAGGAGGCAGGCATGGTGCTGGGGCAGCTGAGAGTTCATATCTTAAACAGAAAGCAGGGCTCAGAGATAACTAACGTGGAGCATCAGGAGTCTATAGATTCTCTGAGCATGTCCCTAGTAACATACTTCCTCCATTCACCTCCTAAGCCTTCCTAAACAGTGCCGGTAACTGCAGAGCAAACATCTAAAGAGATGAGCCTATGCGGGATATTCTCATTCAAACCACCCCATTCCACTCCATGGCCCTACAGCTTTGTAGCCATATCATAATGCAAAATGCGTTTAGTCTAATTTCAAAAGCCCCCATATGAGGGGATGCTCCAGGAAGAGACAAAGGGATAGAGGTGAGCGTGAGGCAGTCGAGGATGACAGAAGCAGCGGATAATTATAGGGTTAGACCTGGGGCATCAAATGGAGTTTAGAGTTGGGCAAAGGGTTGACTCATGAGGAAGCTTGGATTTCTGCATGAGGATTACATGCTGAGAGGAGAGCTAGAAGGACTACCAGGGAGCGCCCATGGGAGACACCACGTGTTAGCAGTTCTGTGGGTTAGGAATGATTTCTTTGCAATAGCACTTATGGTATGTTTTTAAAAATTGACTTTGAACTGTAAGCATTGTGAATATTATGAATTGACCTTCTAAAATGGTTTATACTTTGATATAGTTTAATTTACATTATTAGCAAGAGGGGGTGAAGGAAATATTGGCTTATGAAGCCAACAAGCCTAGGCAGGAGGGTGTGGGTTCAAGAAATTTGGAATAAGCTCAGACACAGTGTTGACTTCATAATGGGGTTACAGATTGCAGAAGAAGCTGGGTGATGGGCATGTTGTTCTGTAGAGTCCCACTTACAAGAGGAGCAACAGGGGAGGTCCCTAAAACAGCTAGTGAAGTCCAGGACAGCTTCTAAGAAAGCTCCAGAGCTGCTGGAGACAACAGTGAGCCAGGACTGTCACATGACCCCTCCGGAAGCCTCAAAGCATTCATTTTCCATGTTCACGCATTCATTAATGCATTTATGTCTGCTAAGGTACTACAAAAGGTTCTGACTTTGACAATGTGTGCCATGGTCTCTGTAATCCAATGGTAAAAACAGATGTGAGACAGATGTGCACAAACAGCGGTAGCTCCATCATGGTTTTTTCTTTTCTTTGGCTGCCCCTCCCCACCACCTCTTCTCTTTGGAAAACAGATCCTTGTTGTTTTGGTAGGTGGTTTCTTTGCTGATTTCTTTCAGTGTCCACTTTTGCATTTTGGTTGATAACAAGAGAGATCAGTCCAGTAAGACGTTTCTAGAACTCCTTATCTTTCTCTACCTTTCAGAGTGTGTGGGTTGGAGGAAGGTTCTCTGGTTTGTCTGCAATAGGGATGTGAATGGGAGGTCAACCTCACGGCAAGGGTTCAGAGTCTCCTGAAGAGAGAGAGGGTGAGAACTGGGCTGGAAGTTGAAGGCTTGACTTGGTTGGAAAGGAAAGGGGAGAGAGAGGAGAGAAAAGGGTGACTGGGGACAGAGAGTGATGGGGGCAGAAGAGAGATCTGGGTCTAAACATCCCTAGTAAGCGAAGGGATTATCGGGGAAGGGCCTCTGAAGGAAGCTTTGCTGTGTGTTGTGTTATGGGATGCCTTCACCATGACCCATACAATGCTGTTTTTCAAGGTGCTATGGTCTGAGTATGTCATTCAAAGTTCATATTTGGAATCTTCATCCCCTAAGCAGCAGTGTTGGGAAGCCAGGCCTTAGGGGACGCGCTTGGGTCACAAGGGCTCAGCCTTCATGAATGGATTAGTGTCATGATAAAAGAACATGAGGAAGGGAGTTGGGTGTTTGCTCCTCTGCCTCTGCCACATGAAGACATCGAGGTCTCTCCTCTCTAGAGTAATTTAGTGTTCAAGTGAGCATCTCAGAAACAGAACAACCTTAACCAGCACCTTGATCTTAAGCTCTCCAGCCCTCAGAACTGTGAGAACTCAATTTCTAGGTTTTATAAGTCCCCATGTCTAGGATATTTTTTTAGAGTAGCACAAATGGTCTAAGGCAAGAGGTCAGATTTTTATTTTTATTTTTTGTAGTGAAAGCCTTGGCAAGACTGAAGGCAGTTCAGGTGTGGGGATTTTATGTCCCCTTCTGTTTTACAGTCAAGTTATGTCTGTGCAGGTTTGCTACTGGAGTTCCTTGGCCTGAGTGTGTCATGGTATCACAGTTGGCTTCAGTTGTTAACTTGACACATGGGAAGAGGAAATGTCACCCGGGGAATTGTTTCCATCAGACCTGTGGGCATGTCTGTGGGGCATTTTCTCTTGGTGGCTAATTGATGTAGGATGGCTCGGCCAATGTGGGCGGTGCCAGTACTGGGCAGGTGAGCCTGGACTGTTTAAGAAAAGAAGCTGAACAAGCCAGAAAGCAACATTCTTGGACCAGGAATGGAGGGTGTATGCCTGTAATCCCAGCACTCGGGAGGCAGAGGCAGATGGATCTCTGTGAGTTCAAAGCCAGCCTGGTCTACAGAGCTAGTCCAGGACAGGCTCCAAAGCTACAGAGAAACCCTGTCTCAAAAAACCAAAAAAAAAAACCAAAAAAAAAAAAAAAAAAAATTCTTCTCGAGTGAATGGATTCCTAGTGGCCCTTGTTACTCAGTCAATGTAGAACAGATTTGAATAATCTGAAATGCATTTCTGGAAATGTAATTTCATAAAACAAGATTTTATTGTTGCCCATGATAAAATTCTGAGCAAACTGAGCTTCCCACAGTGACTTCTCTTTCTGTTCCATGAGGATTAAAAGCAAACAAATAAAACAAAACAAAACCCTCAAAGTAGAAGCCTAACCGGATGTCACCGACAAGTGGTTAGAGGATGATTGTGCTTCATATTTAATATTTGGAATTTATAATATTAACTAGACAGAAGCAAAGGGGAAAATGAATGATAAGCATTTTATTACTTACAAAGAGAATTATTGATTTTATATTTTGCTCTGCTGGACTTCGATGACATATTTGAGTTGGCATTTGGAATGTACATTATAGTGTACATTATATGACTCTTTGAAAATTATAATTATCCAAAGAAATCATAAACCATGCATCTATCATTTACATGATGACTGTAAAGCATGGAACCTGGCTGAGTCCCCTCCAGTCAATAGCAGTCAGGCCAGCTCTAGAAGTTCCTGATGTCCTTGTCTTCATTCCCCAGGGGCGACAGAACCTGGACCAGCTGTGTGAGAAGTTTTTACTGGCTTTTTTTTTTTATAGTTGTATAACCCATGTTTCATTATTTTTAAAGTTTGTCAGAATTATCATATGCCTTGTTAAGAAAATAAATAACACCAGTGGTTTCCTGTCTCTCCATACAAGCAATCATTCCTGACTTCTTCAGACATTTCTGGGTGATCTCTCCAGACCTGTAAACAAGGTGCTTAGATCCACTTCACAGGAGCAGGAGGCAGATCGGTTCTTATCAACAGAGCAAGTGTTTGGACTGTGTCTGACACATCCTTAGCAACACTAGAGACTGGAAGGCACCAGAGCAATCTTATACTTTCTTTTTTCCCCTGAAGAAGTTTCCTGAGGACCTGGGTCCCCTAGAAGAGCAACCGGTGTTCTTAACCACTGAGCTGTCAGTCCAGTCCAGTGGTTCTCAACCTTCCTAACGCTGAGACCCTTTAATACAGTTCCTCATGGTGTGGTGACTCCCAACTGTAAAATTATTTTTGTTGCTACTTCATAAATGTAATTTTGCTACGGTTATGAGTCATAATGTAAAAATCTGTGTTTCCCAGTGGTCTTAGGTAACCCCAGTGAAAGGATTAGTCAGCTCCAGAGGGGTTGCGACCCACAGGTTAAGAACCATTGCTCCAGCCCCTTCAGATGCTTTTATTGCAGATATTGAAATTGATTCTAATTCAACTCCATTTTCTTTTGTACTTGGGTGGGCCATGTTCTTTGATAGCTTTCCTATGTGGTGACTTATCACCATCTCTCACTTGTGTGAAGCAGCCTAACAACAAGAGGTCCTGCTTTTGCTAAAAGTTCACTGTCTCCTCACTTGAGCCTTCAAGGGAACTAAAAGGGGCGTAAAGCCCGGCCTTTCTCTTCCGTTTTGTGTCTGTCTCCTTTACTTTGGGTCAAATGTCAGCCTCCTGTTCTACTCCACACAGGAGTGTGGTCCTTCGAGGAGTGTCTAAAAATAAGCAACACAGGGTGTTCAGCCCTAAATTATCTAACCTTCTTCAGTCTAAAGACACGAAGATAAGAATAACTAAGATATTTTACTATCTACCTTTACAGCATCCTGTTCCAGGGCCTAGGTGCCCGAAAGTCTCCAGTCTGTCCTGAACCTGAAGTCACCTTGGATTCCAGGAATGTAAAGCCTCGCAGGTCACCCCTTGATGAGATCACCCTTAAGTGGAAGCAATGTTCCTATGTTGGGAACCGAGGAGCAACCATCTCATGGGAACTGGCTTGTCCTCTCCGCTGATAAGGACTTTTCCAGAATTGCCCTGTAGAATGAAGACTGAGGTGGACCACAGACTGATGGAGGCTGCTTAATTATGCATGTGATGTACAATTTCTCCTCGCCCTAGCCCTACAGCTGCTGTCAGGTCCCAGAAGACTTAGTGCTTCATCTCTGTCTTCCCTGGTCAAATTGCTTCCTGGTCAAAATGCTTCCCTGATTTTCCATTATTACTTTCCCACTGATTTCCGGGGCTAATGGACAGACCTGATTTGTTGGGACTCCTGGAGTCCGACCACTGGCCACTCCAGACTTTAGTAAGTGAACTAATACATAATGCACTTGTTACAATGCGATGTAACCATCTGTTGCTTTTACTTTTACTCTGATAACTAGGTAAAGACCCAGATATTTAACAGGGAACTCCAAATACCAGTATATGGAGTCTTATCTTTGAGAGGAGAGTGAGGTGTTAGAGGTTACTCCTCTCCATCTGGCTGGGTACACAGAAGTAGAGTGAGTCCTGTCTGGCTGCCAATAGGTCATTTGCTCGTCCATGGGGTATTATTAATCACCACCGGTCCAGCTCTGTTGTTCACTCAGCTGATGTTTACAGATTACCTGGGCTCCCAGAGTTTGCGTTGTGAAAGATCTCCGTCTGGGTTTTAGCCTCCAGCCCTCACTCATACAATGCAGGTTTGGCATCCCTGGTCCTCCTGTCAAAATTCCTCTGTCCACCACCCACCTCCAGAAACTCTTTGAAATCACTTCTCTGCCGTGAGACCCCTGGATTTGTGTCATTTTTCAAGTGCTTTTGCTATTATCTTAGTATCATCTTGGTTAGGAGAAATCAAGCATGTTTAATCTGCTATCTTTCATCAAATACTTGTTTACTGTCCGGGTAGGTACAATTCCAGGGTCCCATGTCTGAAGTCCTAGGCCTTTTGCATGCTTTTCTTGAAGTTGAAGGTCCTGGACACTTCTGAGGCAAGGTAGTCCTCCCCCAGGTGACACGCTGTAGTTGAGAGCCCTTTAGAGATTGTCGCCAAGTGCAGCCCCCAACCCCCAGTCTTTCTGAATTTGCAATTAGCAGTGGAAAGGATTTTAGGCAAGGGTTCAGGAACAATGTTCCAAGTAATGATGGAAACCATTTATGAATAAGATATAACTACTGCCAAGCTCTGGCGTCCTTGTGAGCATGCCTTTTACTGTAACTACCAACATCTCATTCCTCTGGGCCAGTGCAGGAAGTCAGTACACATACTAGCTCCAGAATGGATGTGAGTTCTTCCTTTACAATAGAGGAGTAATTCCATTCTGAATCAGAGTCATTCATTGGCTTCTAATTCACTATTACCATTACGTTCACAATACGAATGTGCTGAGTAAAAGATAGTGGAATTCACGAGCATTTAGGCATTTTAAAATGTTACTGGCAATTGACTATAACTTCCACAGATGAAGAACAAACCCTCAACCAGCTAACCAGAAATAACAGTAAATTGGTAACCACATCCCTATTTAAGGGATATGATAATAGTTGTCCGTGTCTATGGCTATACCACCCTGAATGTACCCGATCTCAATTGGTAATAGTTGACCATGTTAAAGGAAAACCATGTTATAGTATAAGAAAGATGTCATTCTGGACAATTTTCAGTATTAGATGTGCTTAGAGCTCATCAAAGAGTCACAGGAAAACAGAGGCACAGGGCCCCTCTCCCCAGCTGGCAGCTGGCACCTGATGTTCTCAGAACTCAAGAGTTAGAATGTTGCCTGCAGCCTGCTACATGATGGAGACCATGATCAGAGAAGGGGGCAGGAAACAGCCCCAGGATGTCCATCAGATAAAGCTGTGCACCCTGAATGATAGGATGAGGATTTGGAAGGAGTGTCTTAGAAAAGTGCAAGTAGTGTAACTCTCTGGAGTACCAGGGAAGGGGACAGGGATGTCCTGTGACTCGGACTAGAGAAACCAATCTTGCGCTGAATCAGCATGCCACCCAGATTCACCCTTTCCTGACGCTGCTTGTCTCTTTCTGCAGAATGCTGCATTAAAAATAGTTGCACTTTCACAGACTGAGGGTCTTCTCAGTCACATGTGCGTTGATCACCACTGAATCAGAGCAGCAGTGATCATCAGTATGCATGTCGTCAAGATGGGATTTAAAGTGGAAAATTGTTTACACAGATGACAGAATCAGAGACGCTCAGATTAGTGGCAGCAGGAGTCACTCCCAGTCTGTGTGACAGGAACAATCAGAGTCTACTGGGGTCACTGACAGCAGTTGGAGACAGGGCAGATTTCCTGACTGGAGCCATCCCATAGTTAGAATCAGTGGCACATTCAAGGCCCACAGGCTTAGCAAAAGACGTCTGGCCTTTCCCTCTCTCCCATCCTCCAGCGGTTCTCATAGACTGATTCCAACAGTAGCCTCCCTGACCTGCAAGCCTGGGAAACCTGTTTGCAAGGGTCGGCACCTGTAACGCAGAGCCATTAGGAGAAGCATGAAGAATGGATCTGAAAGCAAGCAGACTATGCCCTGTGCATTGCATTGCACGCATTATGGACACTCCTTAGATTAAATGTCTGGTAAGACACTCTGCATCATATAAATATGTGTGTATGTATGCTTCTGCAGCTCCCTGCCTGCAGTCAAATGAGCCATAAGCTGTTGCTAATCTAGCTGTCAATGACATGATATTTTAAAATTTATAAGCCAGGAAGTTTATTGACCATCCATCTTTGAACAGAAAATTATTTCCATCTTCTGGTTTTATTTCCAGCCACAACACTACGAGTATCTGGTCTCAGATGCATGGCTACCATTCCCATGACTGCATAAACACCACACAACCCACACACATACTGCTTTGTCTGTGTGCCCTTTAAACCAACGCCATCTAAGCTTAACGACATTTTTTGGGCAATTTTCACAAGAAGGTAATAGAGTAACATTCTGAAACCTGGCCTTCACAGGTGACAGAGGACTGCTCCTTCTCTCTCTCTAAAAGCTGGTGGAGAAGTACGGGGCTGGCTATTTACCCTCACCCTTTCCACCTGGCAGGTGGCAGGATAAAGCATTAGTTGCAGACAGTGCCGTCTTAGATTCTGAAACGTACAGGACTTGTGGAGAATGCTGGCGTCTGGCCTTCTTTAGCTGAGAGCATCCAGCTACAAAGGAGGTGGGAAAGGCTGAGAAGCAGCGCTGGCAGTCTGCTGTCTCCAAAGTCTGATGGGCCAGCATTCAGACAACCAGGCTGTACACACCCCTGTGGGTACCAACTCACTTCCGACTTCTCTGAGTCCAAGGGTCTCATTGTCACTTTCCCTTTGATCAAGAAGACTTTAAATAATGAGAAAATGGAACCCCAAAGCCGTAGGTTGTGCTGGCTACTGCATCCTCGCCTTTTGCTGCAAAGAGGTTACAGCTTGGAAGAACAAAAGAAACCTCATACGCATCCTAAATAATGGTAACAACATCGGGTAGGAGGGAGAAGAGAAGACTATGTAATAAATTAGAGGGGGTACATCCCCAGGCAAATGATTAGCCCTTATTCCAGTGTTGTTAGGCCCTGTAGAAAAAAAGGTCTGCATAGCAGCTGCTCAGACCAGCTAAAGCAGCCTCTGGAGGGACCTGGATAGGCAAGAATTCTGGAGGGCCCTGTGATTTCAGCCCTTAGCAGTGTTGGGAAGCCCCAGCAAGCCCCGAAGACAGCAGGAGTTCCTGGCAGAGGCGTGGCTTTCCCAGCTGAGGAATCTCAGCACTGCTCAGAACAGTGGAACCCAGCAGAGGGGAGACTAGACTCGGTGGAGGAGGAAGCTCTAAACAGTGCTTGCAACAAACAGCATGTGTCTGCAGTCATTTGTATGCACGCACAAGCTCTTATGTGGCATATTTTTTATTTTCTCTTGTGGGGTAATTAGGAGAGGAATCGCTGGGTCATGTGGAAAGTTTAACATTCTGAAGAACTGCTATGTCCTTTTCCCAACAAATCCCACCAGCAGTGTATGAACCTTCATAGCTCTCCATCCTCATCAATGTTTGCTACAATCTGTCCTTTCCATTGCAGCCATCATAGAGGGATATGGTATGTCATTGTGGTTGTGATTGGCATTTCCCTGGTGATTAATAATTTGAGCATCTTCTCACATATTTGTTAAACACATTAAAATTTCATTTATTTTATGTGTGTATGTGTATGTATGTGTTGTGTGTGTTGTGTGTTGTGTGTGTGTTCATGGGTGTGTATGTGGGTAGGTAGAGAGAAGGGTAATAGTGACATGTGTCATGATGTGTGTGTGTGTGTGTGTGTGTGTGTGTGTGTGTGTGTGTGTGTGTGTAAATCAGGGGATAACTCAGGTTCCAGTTCTCTCCCTCTACCATGTGGGTTGGGTTCTAGGATCGGAACCCAGGTCATCAGGTGCCTTTAACTCACTTAGCCAGCTCAGCAACTCAAACCATTTATATAACTTCTTTAAAGAAATGCCCATTTGGGTTATTAGTCTTTTTATTATTGGGCTGTAAAGTGAGTCTTCATATATTCTAGGTATAAGTCCCGCTTTAGAAATCATTTGCAAATAATTTTTCCTGTTGTGCCGGCTGTTCTAGGATGCTTCTCTCCCCCTCCCTCTCCTGTGTTCACGTTGGCACAGGTGAACGTGTGTGCCTTAGTGTGTGTGTGTTCCTCTAGCATCTTCCTCCTTGGTGCTTTGTTTGGTTTTGGTTTTTTTGAGACAGGGTTTCTCACTGCCCTAGACGTTCCCCAAGTCAGTGAGGCTAGCTAGCCAGTGAACCCCAGGAATGTGCCCGTCTCAGTGTCCCCATCACTGGAATTAGCGCGTCATCACACCCCCTGTTCTTTTTAAATGTGATCTAGGGATCAAACTCTGGTCTTCATGCTTACAAGACAAGCACTTTATCAACTGTTCCGTTGCTGGAGCCTGGAGCCTGTTTCCTAATCTGATTTTTAATCATAGTTTCCAGTATCTGATGCACTGGATTCATCTGATGCACTGGTCTTTCGGGCAAGTCTTTAATCATCCCTTTTACTTCTGCCCAACTCCAACTTCCTTAGAATAAATAAAAGCTTCATTTCTCTTGTTATATGAAAACTGGAACTGGACGTGTGAACTGTTCATGTGTTAATGAACTTCCTAAAAAATGCCTGACTAGCTAACTCACCTGAGAGAGCTCTGGGGGTTCCAGGCATTGCCATGTTTGGCCCTTCTGCTTCTGGCCTGTGGTGAGGCTACACATTATGGTGGGAAGTGTATTACCATGCAAAACTGCTCACTTCGTGGTGGGCAAGTGAGCAAGAGGTGGGGAGTTTTCTACCCCCTTCTGCTACACACCCACAAGGCCACACACCTCCTAAAGTTTCTGCTGCCACCCAGTACTGCCATAGTAGACACTAAGCCCTCAATACATGGGCCTTCATGGGACATTTAACATTCAAATTACAGGAGCTTAAGACTCGGAAGTACAAATGACTTTTTTTTCATGTATCTGTGTGTGTGTATGGTATGCATGTATGTGTGTTCATATGTATAGGGGCACATATAAGTGTGTGTGCATACCTGTATGTGTGCATGATGGCCTGAGGCTAATATAGACTCTTCTTCAATTGCTCTTCACCTTATTCATTGAACCCAGAGTTTGCTAATATAACTACCTAGTTTGCCTCCAGGAATCTTGCTCAGCCAACTCATGTAGGTTCAAGGTAGTCTAAGCTCTAGGCTCATACTTGGGCAGCAAATGTTTTATATACTGAGCCATCTTCTCAGCCCCTAAATGACTTTTTAGTAACAGATTATTTTATTTTATTGTACAAATGTTTTGCTTGCATTATATATGTGTACCACAAGCATGCCTGGTGCCCACAGAGGTCAGAAAAGAGCATTGGATCTTCTGAAATGGGAGTTAGGATGGTTGAGCTACCATGTAGCTGCTGGGAATTGAACCTGTGGCTTCTGCAAGAGCAGCAAGTGCTCTACACCACTAAGCCATGTCTGCAGCCCCCTCCCTAGTATAATTTTTGAACAATAAACTTTTAAATAAAATACTAAGCCTTTTCTGGCCTTATTCTCTTTGTTATGAATTGGAGGAAGGTTTTGGAATCTGTGCTTGACCAATTTCTAAGCATCCTTCCCCTCTAACATTCAAGAAAATTAATAAAAACAAAGTTTACAGCCATTCCTGGCAGCATGCAGGGTTCAGAGAAAGACATTTAGAGTAAACACTATCTACATTATGTGTTGCTGTGTTCCTCAGAGAACTGTGACTTACACATAGTAATTAGTAAACTAAATCCCTATTAAACCCATTGAGACCCGTAGCTATAAAACTCATTGTCTTTGTTAGAGTTTCTACTGCTGTGAAAAGACATCATGACCAAGGCAACTCTTACAAAGGAAAACATTTAATTGGGGCTGGCTTATAGTTCAGAGGTTTAGTCCATGGTCGTCATTGTGGGGAGCATGGCTGCATGCAGGCAGACATGGTGCTGGAGATGTAGCTGAGAGTCCTACATCCAGATTGTCAGGAAGCAGAAAGAGAGAGCCACTGGGCCTGGCTTGAGCATTTTAATCCTCAAAGTCCACACTTAGTGACACACTTCCTCCAATAAGGCCACACCTACTCTAACAAGGCCACACCTCCTAATAGTGACACTCCCTATGAGCTTAAGGGGGCCAACGACACTCAAACTACCACACCTTCTTATCCTCTCCAGAGTTCAACACTCTTGTCCGGGGCGGCTCCATTCTCTTCCCTGAGTTCCTCTGGTAGCATCTTTCCGATGACCCTGATTCTACTCCATCATGTCAACTTGACAGCATCTAGAATCACCTGGGAGGTGGGCCTCTGGCATGCCTGTGTTAGGAAGTATCTTGGTTATGTCAGTTGATGTGGGAAGACCCATCTTACCATGGGGTGGGGCTTAGACTGGATGGGAGGTGAAGAGGGAACTGAGCACATGCAACCATCGTTCTCGGCTTCTCAGGTACAGATGTAATGCCATCAGTTCCCTCAATCTGCTACATCTGTGCTTTCCCAGTCAAGAGGACTGTAAACAGGAAATGGGAGCCAATTAACCATTTCTATCTTAAGTTGCATTTATTGGGGTGTTTTTTCCATAGCAACAAGGAAAGAAACTAAAACACCTGCCTACAGTCTTTTCTCCACACCAGAGCTAGAATGAAGCTATAAAAACCCAAAGTGGATCATACCACTGTGTGGTTCAAGTTCTCCAAAGACTCCCCATCACCCCCAACAGAAACCCAAATCCTAACCCTACCCTTGAAACCTCAAGTGATGGTGTCTCTCTCCCTCCTAGTGTTCACTCCCATGAGGTTCCATCTGGTCCTCTGGAATCCTTGTACAATTCACCAGGTTCTTCCGTGGACTTCCTCTTTCTTCCTCCTGCTACCCGCTACCTGTGTAATGACTCTTCTTGCTTGTCAATTTGACCATACCTAAAAGTAAAACCCCACCTGTGAGGGATTTTTTTCTTAATTAAATTATTTAAGATGGGAAGACCCAGTTTTAATCCAGATCTCCTGAGGTTGGAAGATACACCTTTAATCTGGATCTTTTGAGGTGGCTGATCCGGGCCACAGCCTCTGGTGGCAGCCTGTATGGAGGACATGGAAGAGGGAAGCTTGCTCTCACTCTCACCGGTAAGTCCATCCTTCAGTGGCATTAGCCTCTACTGCTTCAGGATTCCAGCTTATACTGAAGACCATCTGAGACATCCAGCCTCATAGACTGAATAACTGCTGAATTCTTGGGCCTTTCATTGGTAGACAGCCATTTTTTGACTAGCTGGACTACAGCCTAAGAGCCCATAAGCCATTCTAATAAGGCCCATATACATATATTTACATATTTATATATAAATATATTAATTTATATATAGAGAGAAACAGAACTATATGAATATAGATATTCATTCTGTCAGTTCTGTTCCTATAAAGAACCCTTACTAATACAGCCTGCAGCACCAGCTCATCTGAAATTTCACTCTCTCTCTCTCTCTCGCTTCATTGAGGTCTCTGCTTCAATGTCACAACATCAGAGACATTCAAAGTCCCTCCTACAACCTATTAATCCTTAATTTTGCTTTGTGTTAATTTATAGAACCTAATGTGCCCCAAACAGTAAGATATATTCGTTTATTTGGGTCTTTGCTTCCACCCCTCATTAATATGCCAGGTCTATACTGGAAGAAGTCTTGCCTTTGTTTACTGCTGTGTTCCTAATGCTCAGTACTGTCCTTGCACCTCCTAGAAATTCAGCTCATACTGTTGGATTGACATGTTGCGTCATAATTATTACCAGAAAGCAAGTGCTGTGTTGGTACCACTTCCTAACTGATTTGCCTCAGGCTAACCATATAATCTCTCCAGGTCTGTTTTCTCACCTATAAACTGAGCTGGGGATACTGTGAATGGTTTGAATGCAAGGGATGCCCGCTTGATATTAGGTACTCAAGTCACCGAGCCAGGATTATATACCAAGGAAAACAATTGTCTTCATATTTTGATTGAAGAAACAAGGGGGAAATCATTGCTCTGGTTCGAATGTTCATTTTAAAGCCACGTTGAAATTAATCACCACCGTGACAGGCCTGGAGCTGGGACCTTTAGGAGATGATTAGATGAAGGATGAATTAGTGTTGCTGTCACAGCAGTGGTTTTATTAAAACTGAGCTCTCTGTGTCCCCGGCTCGCATACGTCCTCTTCTGCCACGTTCTGATCTAGTGTCAAGGCTCCTGATAAATGCTGGCACCAGGCTCCCAGACTTCACAGCCTCTGGCCATGAGTGAAAATAAACTGATATTTTGCTTGTAAGTTAACCAGCATTAAGTTTGGATCTTAGATTTCCCCTAAGGTCCCTGATTTAAAGCCTTGATCCCCAGAGGGATGCCATCGAGGTATGATTAAACCTTCAAAAGATGGTGTTTAGTAGGTTGTCTTTAGGTCATCGAGGGTATTCCCTGAATGGGGGTGGGACTCTCTTTTTCGTTCTGGCTAAGAGATGAGCAGTTTTGCTCTCCTGAGCACTCTGTCACAATGGCTACCTTGACACAGACCCCAAAACAACAAGGCCACTCATTAGAACAAAACCTCCAAAATTGCAGAGCCCAAACAAGACTTTCCTCCTTACACATTATCTCAGGTGTTTATTATAGTAACGGAAAGATGACTGAGCCACTCAGTCTCAGTTATTTTGTTACAGAAGCAGGAAGCAGAGTGGTAGTCACCAGTCCTGCTTTCTTAGAACCATAACTTACTGACTGTGGAGATGTAAGCTGAGAGTCACTCATGTGTAGCTGGAATTTTCCTGCCTGGCCCACAGTCAGGACAAATCTCTGACACCCGCCAGTCCCACAGCCACTTAGACCCGACCAAGTAAACACAGAGACTTATATTGCTTACAAACCGTATGGCCGTGGCAGGCTTTTTGTTAACTGTTCTTACAGCTTAAATTAATCCATTTCTATTAATCTATACCTTGCTCGTGGCTTGTGGCTTACCGGTACTTTACATCTTCCTTGTCCTGATGGCAGCTGGCAGTGTCTCTCCGACTCAGCCTTCCACTTCCCAGTTTTATTTTTCTCCTTGTCCCGCCTACACTTCCTGTCTAGCCAATGGCCAATCAGTGTTTTATTTATTGACCAATCAGTAACACATTTGCCATACAGACCATCCCACAGCACCCATGCTCCTTTAAGTAACCCCAATAGTCATTGGTCCCCCGAGCTAGACTTGGGTGGAATTGTTTGTTGGCCATGTCTTATATGGGTTAAACAAACATCTGTTCACAGCTGGCTAGGAAAAGTCACATAATATAATTGGTACCTGAACAGGAAGACTGAGTTTACAAGGAGTGCTTGTACGGCCCCCGCTGTAGGTGATAAGTTGTACAGCTGAGACTGATCCATTTATTAATGGGGTGTTCCTGGGGGACAATTCCAATATGGCTACCTTTCCTTATGTGGTAGAGAAGGGTATATCTCCTTGCTTAATGGCAGCCAAATATGAATGCCCCCAAAAATGCGAAATAAGATACACAACCAAGGCTGAGCCACCTGAGGATGGTGCATATTCATGGGGAACCTAGGTGGTCATATTCCTCTACATGGTATGGAGTAGCATGCATCCTTGATGAATAAAAACTGTCACTAGAGTATAGGAATATCCCCCCAAATGGGTGATGAATGAGAAAATAGATTGCAAACTTTGGAAATAGCACATGGAGAATGGATTGGAAGCAGGCTGAGGTGGAGTTGCTTGGTCTTTGCTGTGGGTGATAAGATGTGCAACTGAGTCTCAGCTGTTTTCCCAGGCAGAACTTACCACACAAGGGAGGAATCTAAGAAAGACATGTACAGACACCGCTCTCCACATTAGCCTCCGATGTGTCCGGAAAATGGGGAAAGGAGAGGTGCCCAGGAGTCACCCAGGCTTCTGCAAATAAGCCCAATACACTCACTGGTTTAGCAGGCTGGATGTGGATGGAGTCTCTCTCTCTCTCTCTCTCTCTCTCTCTCTCTCTCTCTCTCTCTCTCTCTCTCTCTCCATGGTCAGTCTCCTATCTGATGTGAACAGATGTTTGCTCACATCTACTCAGCAACAGTCACATGGCAGAGGGCATGATTCAAGATGACCTCAGCTTCTGTCTGATCTGGTCCTGTGACCAGATCAGAGGCAACGCCTTATTCGGGGTAACAATTTCCTTTATGGCTCTCTGCTAGGAGATGCTCTGTTGTGGTAAAATACTGTCCAGCAGTTACAAAGAGCAAGGCATTCCTCTGTTTCGACATGGAAAAATAGCCAAGACTCATTTTGGAGTTAAAAACCCCAATGTGCAAATAAGCATAGCTACCTACACACCAAGAATACCCTACTATATCAATATGAAGATACAGTGGTTTAAAGTGTGAAAGTGATTAAACTTGAATATGGGTAGCCATAGACACTTCAGCTTTATCTATGATATTTGATTACAAAGGAGATGTTCTGGGGCTGGAGAGGTGGCTCAGCAGTTAAGAGCACTTGCTGCTCTTG